AAAAGGGTGTGTAGTCTGCTTTCCCCCATCTGTCCTACATTATGAAGGACCTGTCAGAGTTTGAAAATACAGCTCTACATTTTAGAAAGAGCTCTGACTGAAGTCTTCTGTCAGAAATGTGGAGATCTTTTTTATTGTTTTTAGAGAGGGAGCCAAGGGGTAATCTTTATTTAATTGTCACTCCGTGGAAAATACATAGAACTGTGACCAAACTGAATAAATTTAATCAACAATGCAGCCTCGAAATGTGTGACATTTACATCCAATTGGTTTCAGCTAAGTACATTTGAATCTTTTTCTTAATTGCATTAAATTGAACTCTAGTTGTGTACCATTTTGTATGTAATTGTGCGCAGAGGAGTTCATGATCCTGCCTGCTGTAGCAATGAATTGAATTGCCAGCAAGTGAATTAATAGCTTCAGGTTGGCAATCCCTGCTGTATCATATCTACAAAGATAAAAGGTACACTGCAAAGCCTTCACCAAACAATTGGATGAACAGAGCCAGTGAAAACAGATCACTTCATATTGTTTAGTGAATGTGTCTGACATACCTCAAACTAAACAAAAATTTGATTGTTTAGGATGGTTGCGGTTTTAGCTTTGATAGAATTTGTTAAGTGGCTCCATCAAGTCTGATCCCTGAACAAAAAGGGAATGACTTTTGTCAGATTGTAATTCTGATCTCTCATCTCAAAAGGCCTCTGTGAAATCTGAACATTTTTTGTAAAAATTCACATGCAGCGTGATCCTTCAAAATTATGTCCTACTTCCGGTCAAATGCAGATTGTTTTGCCAAATCTGTCATTGGTCAAATTCTTGAGAATGAAATCATGTTTGTTGGAAAATTATGACAAGGATTGAGTCAGAGGCTAGAAGATGTATTAATCCCTGACACAAATGAACATGTGATCTAGATCTTGCAGTAATGTTTATAGTTTTTCAAAAACAACGGTATGATTGGGGAAAGGGATCACACAAGGGCCAAGCTTTGGAAACAACACACCCACTTCAAATAATTTTATCAACTTAATTATTTTGGACCTGCTTGATGCATTGTCATTTCAATCGTAGATCACTTCCACTACTGAACAGAATGAGCCTGATCCTGCAGTAATGTTCTTGATTTAATATCAAATCAGGCAGCTTGTGTTCAACGAGAATCAAGTTTTGATTTTTGATAAGTGCATCTCCATTTATAAAATCTTGCACTGATAAGGGTCCATTTGAGCTATAGATTTTATGCAAATTTATTTCAGGGAAAACTATGCTTGACAGCAGAATTGATGGACACTGTGCTTTTGTGCTTATCTAGTCAGTGTGTCAGATCATAAAATATTCATGCTCTCTGAACAGATGCAGAGCTGTTGGGAACTGAGCCTCAGTGCAGACCTGCCTCCAGGGAATGTTCACTTCAACTCTTTAGAAAAAGTGTTACTTGTAAGAGTTTGTTTACCTACTCAGGCGGACCTACCGTTCTCTAATAGTCCCTTCGACGACCACAATAACGTGAGCACTTGCCGCGCACAAAATGTTTGCCTTTTTAACATTGCTCCATTATTCTGTTTCCTTGTTAATGAGATCGCAAGTAGCTAACTCGTAGAATTTAAATGTAACTTTTTTAAAAAATATGTTTCTCAAAATAGAAGCAATGTCATTGTGAGATGCCACTGCAAAGGGAAGAAAATCCCCTCCTTCCATCTTGATTGACTCATTTCCTCTCTTCCCCATAATCTTAGCACACCACCCCCTCTGCATCTTGTTGACTTCCTCCATTTCCCTGCCTTAGTCATCTTCCAGTGGAATTGTCAACTTGGTACCAGTTGAATTAACTCTGTGGTGGCCTTCTAAAAACACCAGTTAATTTGTATTTCTTTTTAAAGAAAGCTGAGAGGGCTTAGGCTTAAGGTGAGAGGTGAAAGTTATAAAAGGGACTTAAGGGGCAACCTTTTCAGCAGAGGGTGGTGCATATATGGAATGAGCTGCCAGAGGAGTTGGTGGAGGCTGGTACAATTACATCATTTAAATGCATCTGGATGGTCATATGAATAGGAAGGATTTAGAGGGATATGGGCCAAATGCTGGCAATGGGACTAGATTTATATAGGATATCTAGTTGGCATGGACAAGTTGGACTGAAGGGTCTGTTTTCATGCTGTATATCTCTATGACGCTATGATTATAACAAGATCAGCCCGGTAGAATATGGGTTCTCTGTTTGGGGCTGTTAATCTTGTCCAATCCGGGAACACTGGCTGACAGATATAAACAGAGGTGTCACAGGTTCTGCTCACTCCAGGACCTGGCTCTGAGCTAACTGGGTCAGTGTCATGTACTATGCATGCGTAAATGAAGGGTGACTTGAGATAGGATACTGGCCTTTGTGGAGTTATTTCAAAAGCATGCTGCCAAACATCAGATTTTAAATTCTTTACGATCCAGTAGAGGAAAAAATATGGAAGTGTCCTACTGAAGATGAGTGTGGTATAGTTCTCGCCCTGTTCTTCATGAATATCAACCCATAATGGTAAATAACTTGGCACTCAATAACCTTGAAAACACCATTAAGATACGGGAACTATATCTCTTAAATCTCTAATCTAAATCTCTTTGATGTTTCGACAGGGCTTGAGAAAAAGACTGGGTAAGAATAAGGTACAGGGTGAAATTATTCCAATCTTCATCCACACATTAAACTATAAGAACATTTTTAAACTCTAAATTTAAGAATAATATGCTGTAGTGATCATGGTGTGCAGGAGAGGATCTGAATGGAGATAATTCTAATCAGGAACAGCTGATAGAAAATCAGAGAGCTCTATTTCCAGAGATGAGATGTAGCCTTTAAGAAAAGTAAATGGTCCAGAGAATATATAAACACAACAGGACTATGGCAATATCAAAACCTTACATTCAAACCACTGCCAACATTGATGTTGTAACATTGATGTTATCTTTTGTTTGTTCCATGGCACCACTTCGATATCATTCATTTCTTGTCTTGTTCACAGGAGTCGACTTCAAAATGAAAACAATAGACGTGGATGGAATCAAGGTGCGAATACAGATTTGGTAAGTTCACAAAGGATTAAACGAATCTGAGTATTTACAGCAATGGAGTCTTAAGCATTTAAAAGAAACCTAAGTACATGAAAACCTTCCACAAAATGTTTTTGTTTTGTATTTTCATGAAAATGCATTTTATGCAAACATTTACAAGGTAAATTTAAGAATACTTGGATATGTCAGTAAGTTTATACTGTAAGAAGTTGAGACAGCCAGACCAGAAGAATGTGCTGAGTTGACTGTCAACAAGGTGTAGACTGAGTGACAGCAATGGCGCTACCCCTGACCTCAGCACCTTTGGGTTCAGGAGAGGGAATCCAGGTTCTCTTTTTATCTCTATAAAGTAATGCTTTTTGAACCAATAGCTGTGAAGAGGACTGGATTTGTCAGATTGCAATTCTGATCTTTCATCTCAAAAGGCCTCTGAAATCTGAACATATTTGAAAAAATCCGTATGCAGTGTAATCCTTCTAAGTGATATTATGTCCTATTTCCTTTCAAATGCAAATTATTTTGCCAAATCTGTCATTGGTCACATTCTTGAAAACGAAATAAAGTTTGTTGGAAAATCACGATAAGGGTGAGTCAGAGGCTAGAAGATATACTAATCCCTCGACACAAATGAACATGTGACCTAGATCTTACAGTAATGCATATAATCTTCGGGATTAGGTTTGACCATGATGCTCCACATGATTAAAATGCCATTTCCAAATCTGCACGTCTATGATTGTTAAAATTGATGTACTTCTTCCACTGTTACAACTCTTCACTGTTTTCATTGAGCACATTTAGGAAGAGACAGTTACCTGAGACTGTTGAAATCATGGCAAGTTTGGTGAATTGTTTAATATGACTGAACATTGGCTGAAATTTTAACCTGAATCCTGTTCATTAGTAGATTGCCCCACCTACTGGCTAACCATGATCATTTTCTATTTGTATTGGAAAATTGTCCCTTGGATTTTAACGTTATATAATGTATTCAGTTATCAAAATAATCTGCAGTTTCTACCTTGTTCATGGATTCATAGATTCATACAGCACAGAAACAGACAACATTTATATTGGAAACTGATGTCCTTTAAACAGGTATTCCTCTTTGGTAACTCCTATTTGATTGAAAGAGTTCAATTTACATAGCACCATTCACCACCTCAGCCTATCCCAGTGAAGTAGTTTTAACGTGTAATTATAACTTTACTCTACTGCAGGAAATTCTCACAGAAACAGTTTAAATAGAGAGTATATACTCTGGAAAAGACCAAAAACTTCTAAAGAGTAAGTCGAATTTCCATTAATTCACCGGAATCATGACATATCAAAATTCAGGTTTTAAAGAACTTTTATCAATAACCAAACATAAAACACTATTCATGAAACATTATTTCCTTTTTTTGTAAAAGTAACTTATGCTTTAACCCACTGAGCAGAGTTTATCTCTTTCTACTTTTCATGGCAACTGAGAACCCCTTTTTTTTAATGTTACATGGATTCTCAAATAGACATCAATGTCCTGAAACCAATCCCAAGAGAATTCATAGCTCCACAAGTGGTTTATTTCTTTCTTGCTGTTTCCTAAAACTACCTTCCACAGTGAGAGCTTTCCCAGGGATTCACTGTGTAGCTTCGGCTAGGCAAACCCTCCAGCCTATCTCCTCATAAACTTAATTTCAAACGAAGCATAAACTCAGTTACATTCCACATGGTGCATGCCTTTGTTTACTTCTATCTTTCTGATCTCACAAGAAACAGTTGACTGTAGACTTGGATTGACCAGTATTTTGGAGCAGATCAAAACCCCTCAAAATGTATCAAGGAGATAGCCTAAACACTAACTTTTATTTAAGAGCAAGTGTCGGTTCTGCATTCCAGATATGTTTCAATTGGTCAAAATAATAGGCTTTAAGCATTTAATTCTTGCACTACAGTTAAAATATGAACAAAAAAAAGGGCATTCCTTTTACTCTATTGAAATACTTAATAAAACAATAAATTTTTTAACTACTACTCATCAACTGTACCAATGTAGCTGCATCCCATAAACACACCCTTGGCAAAGGCAAATTCAGCAAAACAGATTTTCCCTCACTTGCTATCTTCTCTAGTCCCGAAGTGGAACATCAACAGAAGGAATCTAGCAGCAGAGAGAGAACTCAAGCTTTTGCAGCAGCAGCAGAGAACTGTATCTAGCAGCTTCAATATCCGAAACCCCAACTTCAACAACTGAATGAAAAACTAAAACTTGAGTCTGTGTGAGTCTGACTCCATCCATTCATGCTTCTTTTGTCTAGCTTAAAAAAATCCAAATCTATTTACTCTGCTTTCCATGGAGCAGACAACTCTGCACCAAATTTCTAACATGTCTCTTCAAGACAACTAGGACAGACAAATCCCTTTTAAAGGCAGAAATTGTCACACCAGAAACTGTGCCTACCTTTCTCTCTGTGATATCTCTAGGTGTACTAGGAAGCTGATAACCTCATCTCAAAATGACTTTCTCTTCTGTCATCTCCATGACAACAGGAAACACACTAGCCTTGTGTTCAAATAGAAATGTTAATCCGCTATCTCTGATGACTGGAGGAACACAGCAGGCCAAGCAGCATCAGAGGAGCAGGAAAGTTGACATTGCTGTAGAAGGTTCCTGACCCGAAACGTCTTTGCTGCAACCCTCTGTTTTGGTGTGAAATTGGTCACCACTGGTCTGATTTTCTTTTCTACTGACTGCAGGAAGAGGTTGATGTGACAAAAAGAAAATCAAACAGATGTAAACTGGGCTGCCAATTGCACTTGGCCTACTTTGGGCTAATTGCATTGACCAGTTTCACTGACTCAGATTTGAGGAAAATGCCGTTTTCAATGTGCGAATAATCCTTAAATGCACACCAGCTAACTTCCCTGCCTCTCCCACAAACTATGGCCAGTTTAAGAAAATGGGTAGTAGCAAGACCCGAAACGTCAGCTTTCCTGCTCCTCTGGTGCTGTCTGACCTGCTGTGTTCCCCCAGCTCCACACTGTGTTATCTCATCTCACATGTAGCTAGGGGGCGATAAATTCACATCGAAGATGAGCAGTGATTGGCAAACCTGGTGCACACTTACCTGATACTGGTGTATGATTGCTCCTCAACCTCCCCCCTTGCCTGAGGTGTGGTGACCCTCAGGTTAAACTACTTCCTGCAACTCTCTTTAATGAGAGAGCAGCCCTATTAGTCTGGTAGGACGAGGACGACTTTACACTTACTGGCGTATGGTGCCAATAACAAGACAAGTTACCCAATTGCATTGAACTACATTTTCCTTCTTTGGACAACTAGGAATGGACGACAAATGCCAGCCTCATCATGATACTCGCATTGGCACTGAACTTAATTTAAAAATTACACCTGCCTTTCTTTGGTATAATTGCTTTGGTTCAAGTATGATCTGTATGACTGCTTCAAACATACACCTACGCATCTTTCCACTATTCAAAATTAATTGCTTTGCAAAAGAAAGCATTTCAAAACAACAAGCAGGAACCAAGCATCATCACACCAGGATAATAAATGTATCAGGGAAGTGACATGAGTGTTATTTAACTGCTGGCGGGAATCACTGATCGGTATATTAGAGATGGCATTAAGAACAGTATTGGTTACTGATGCATTTGCACAGCGCACCCTTATATCTGTGTTACTGTTGAAAAATAATGCTCCTCATACCAACTAATACTAACAGCCAATAGCAATAACTAGGTGAAGAACCCTCCCTGTTAGTCCATTTTTTTTTGCTCACAATATTCAATGAACGTTTTACCTCTCCCCTCATGTTAGTGACATCAAAAATCATTGCAATGTCCAGAGAATTAGGGATAGGTGATAAATACGGACTTTGCTAAAGACACCCACATCCTCAGGATGGAATTAAAAAAAATTGTGTTGAGATGAATCGAAACTGCACAATCCAATTCACTTGCCCCCAAACAAAGGCCAGTAATTATAAAAAGATAGTAGGAACTGCCAATGCTGGAGAATCTGAGATAACAAGGTGTAGAGCTGGATGAACACAGCAGGCCAAGTAGCATCGGAGGAGCACGAAAGCTGACATTTCAGGTTTGGACCCTTCTTCAGACCCGAAACGTCAGCTTTCCTGCTCCTCCGATGCTGCTTGGCCTGCTGTGTTCATCCAACCCTACACCTTGTTATCCCAGTAATTATAAATATGGATATTTAAAGATACAACATAACTTCTCCACTCTGGAGTGAGTGGGATCAAGTCATTTTTCAATGTTAATGTTTTCTGGATTATAAAATGACAATAGAATGCTTAACCACAAATATGTGAATTAGAAAACACGACAGATAGAAATATTGTCACAAAACAGAAAACATCATAAAGCAATAACAAAAATTGTTTTACTTGTCCTGACACTGTATTTTCCACTTTTCCCCTTCCAAAATACTGCCCTGAATTGATGCCATGAGTTGTTTAAGTCTGATCAAAATATTTCTGGACAACTGATGTATCGAAACAACAAGTTTCCAGACTGGAGAGTTTACAGTACAGTGATATAATGGCTAGTTCTTTCACCCTTGCAATGTGATCTTATTCAAGCGTATACAAGTCTGACAGTGGGTCACCAGGGTAGGTGCAGGAGGGATGCTTCCCCTGGCTCATGGGTCTAGAACCAGTGGGAGGAGCTACAGAATAAAGGGTAGGCTATTTAGCACTGAGATGCGGAGGAATTTCTTCATTCAGAGGCAATGTTTGCTGTAAGCTGCATGGCTATACATGTGCACGGCTGTTCCAAGGTTCCGCACATGATGATAGGTGTCAGCACAACGATCTCGTCCATCTGAGAATGGAGGCCCACACACCAGAAAGAAAGTTTAGAGGAATCACTGCTTAGAGGGTGGTGAATCTTTAGAATTCTCCAACCCAAGAGGCCCAGTCACTGAGTCGGTTCAAGACTGAGATTGATCGTTTTTAACATATTTTTTAAAAATCAAGGGATAGTGCAGA